TCCACCTATATTCCATTCACCAAAGCACGTCAGACGGCCAAGCCTGACCTCCATAGGGTGTGGAGACAGGCCTGTGGAATGTGTATTGTTTATTTTAAATCATATAATCTACCATAAACCCAATTTTTTTGAGGATTAACAATTTACTTTCAAGTATTTATAGGGAACCACTGCTTATGGGGTTTTTAATAGAAACAGTTTCACTGACTGTCTACAGTGCTATACGAATGGAGTGTGTTCCTAAATATTCTTTTCGGTGCTTTCTGAGCCAACTGGTACTTATGAGCTGAACAACTTTCTTATCTGTTACCAGTGAGAAAAAGTAAATGGCATCTTTGCAGATAAACTGCGAGGAAATATAGAGTGTCTTATGTCCCATGTTAATGAGGTACAGAGATGTTGGGAAAGTTTTGTGAAGTCCTAACGTATGATTTCAGCAGAAGCAGTGACGAACAGGCAGAAAGAATAAAGGAGGGGCCACCCCAATGAAAATGGGGTGACTTGAGTCTTCTCTGCCCCACAGTCTGTATTTTTTCTTATTTCTAATACTGGCTACCAAAAGGAATGGAATGAAGAAATGGAAAGAGAAAATGAAATTTAAAAAAAGGAAAAGGAAGATGGAAAGGCAGGTGCAGCAGAGACATAGAGGAAGCAAGTGAGAAGGGAGAAAACAGGGGAGAAAAAGGGAGGGGAGAGAAGAAAAAGCCAAAAGGACTAAAAATGAAAAAAAAAAATGAAGAACGCAATAGACAAAATGTCGATCCTGAATTCAAGATACACTAACAAGTCACAATAATCAAGACAGTATAACATCTGTGAAAGAATAGACCAACAAGTTAGTGGAACAGAGAACCTATAAATAGGCCCACACAAGGAGACTCAACTGATCATACTCAAAGCAGCAAGGACAACACGATAAAAAAAAGACAGCCTTCTCAATAACGGTTCTGGAACAACTGGATGCCCCCATGCAAAACACTGAATCTATCTAAACACAGACTTAACACTCTTGACAAAAATTAACTCAAAATGGATCTAAGTTAAAATGCAAACTATGAAACTCCTAGAAGAAGAAAACATAAGAGAAAATCTAAATGAATTTGGGTTTGGTGATGTCTTTAGCTGCAACACCACGAGCACAATGCATGAAAGAAAGAATTGATATGCTGTTCACTAAAATTAAAAATTTCTGCTCTGTTAAAGAAACTGTCAAGAGAATGAAAAGACAAGCCGCAGACTGGGAGAAGATATGTGTGATAAAGGACTGTTATCCAAAATCTACAAGGAACTCTTTTTTTTTTAAAGATTTATTTATTTATGCATACAAGAACTGGGGTACAGGCCAGAGGTGTGGGGTGAGAGGTTTCACCAGAGATAGAGTGGAGAACAGAACAGGCAGATTGACTGAAATACACCGCTGAGGGGAGCAGCAGGTAAGGCAGGAGAGGTCTGCTGCGCCATGTGGGTCAGTTCCCTGGCCGGGGACTGAACTCGTGCTGCAGTGGCTGCCCATAGCTTCATTGTGCTGAGACTTAACCCCTTGCACCACCAGGGAGGCTCTACAAGGAACTCTTAAAGGTCAATAATAAGAAGACAATCAGATTAAAAAATGGAATAAACAACTGCCAACAAGTTCATGAAAAAGATGCTCATCATCACTAATCATCAGGAAACGCAGATAAACCTCAAAGAGATGTTACTTCCTACCTGTTACAATGGCTACTATCAGAAAGACAAGAGATAGCAAGTGTCAGCTACGATGTGGAGAAAAGGAACACCACTGTACTATGATGGGAATGTAAACTTGTAGCTACTCTGGAAAACAGTATGGAGACCCTGCAAAAAGTTAAAAATAGTTCTCATGTGATCCAGCAATCCCACTTCTGGGTTAATATTGGAAGGAAATGAAATCACTGTCTTGATAGTTAGGCTCCCATGTTCACTGCAACATTATTATTTGTAATTGCCAAGACATGGAAACAACCTAATTTCCATCGACAGATGAATGGACACAGAAAATGTGTTTCACACACGGGAATATTACTCAGTCATAAAAAGGGGAAAATCCTGCCATTTGCAACAACATGGATGGACCTTTGAGAGCATTATGCCAAGTGACATAAGTCAGACAGATGCTGTATGATCTCATAAACGGAATCTTTAAAAAAAAAAGCCACATTCACAGAAACAGAATAGAATGATGGTTGCCATGGGCTGGGAGTGGGGAGGGAGATATTGCTCAAAGGTTAAAAGCTTCCAGTTATGAGTAGATTTTGGATCCAATATTTATCAAGGTAACTATATTTAACAATACTGTATTATATACTTGCTAGTTGTTAAGAGAGTAAATCTTAAAAGTTCTCAACATGCATACACACAAATTGCAATTATGCAGGGTGTTAACTAGCCTTATTGTAATTCTTTCACAATATATACATGTATCAAATCATCATATTGTATACCTTAAACTTAATATGCCAATTATGTCTCAATAAAATTGGAAAATAAATAAAATAGAACAAAAATATGGTGACAGATATCTCACCAGGAAGATATACAGACGGCAAATAAGCATATGAAAAAAAACTTCATTATCATATATCATTAGGGAATTGCACAGTAAAACAACTAGACATGCCTATCACAGTGGTTAAGATCTAAAACACTGACAACACTAAATGCTGGTGAGGATGGGGCCCAACAGGAACCCTCATTCATTGCGGATGGAAATCAAAATGGTACAGCCACTTTGAAGGGGCTGTCTGGCAGTTTCTTATAAAACTCAACACACCCTTACTATAACACCAGTAATCCTATCCTCAAAGGAGTTGAATAAAACAATCAGTGGTTGCCAGGGGTTATGGCACAGGGAGGCGGGATGAATAGGTGGCACACAGAGGATTTTTAGGGAAGTGAAAGGACTCTGTACCATACAGTAATGGTGGGTATATTTCATTACACATCTCACCAATCTCATAAAACCTACAACATCAAGAGTGAACCCTAACCCTATGGGTGACAATGATTGATCAAGGTGGGTTCAGCAGTTACATCAAAAGTGCCAGTCTGGTCTGCGATGTTGACAAAGGGGGAGGCTAAGCACGCGTGGGAGCAGGGAGTTTAGGGGAAACCTCTGCACCTTCTTTCCAAGTTTGCTGTGAACTTAAAGCTGCTTCAAAAAAATAAATTCTACTGCACGAAGATGTCAACATAAACAAGTTAAACGATAAAACAAGCAAAGCTAAACAAAACTGATTGAACACTTTCACTTTGGTAAGCTTCAAATTTCACTTCAAGTCACTTTTGACAGTCTCGGGTGGAAACGTTTATGCAAAACTGCTGAGAGGCCTCGCACGCCCCCTGCGGGGTGGCAGGGGTGCCGGGGTAGGGGGTGTCAAGGGAGGGTGACGGGGGCGGTGACGGGAGGTTTCAGCTGACAGCACCAGGGAAATCTCCGGGAAGCTCTTAAAAATGTCAAAGCTCTGACTCCACCGCACACCAGCTCACACTTTCGGGTGGCAGGACCCAGAATCCGGTTAAAGGGAGCAGAAAGGCGCAGAGTTCCTCCTGCTGTGCGGCCGGGGCGCACCATCACCGTGAGAGGCGGCTGCAGGGAGGGGTGAGGCGTGGGAGTCAGGGTCGGGGGAGAAAAGGGAACTTTCCCTGGAGAAGGGTGCGCCCCACCCCGGCCCCCACGCCCCAGGGCGGGTATACCCGTGGCACAGCGGGTGCCACGCTGTCAGCAGCTTTCAAGCCGGGAATGGGTGTCCCAAGGGCAGGTACGCGAACCGTCTCCCCCGGAGGAGAGAGACGAGGGCCAGGGAGTCGGCGCCACCGTCGGGGTCAGAGTCAAGTCGGGATCCCCACGCGCCCCGCCCGTCTCCGGCGGGGGTGCCACCCCAGCCCGGGCACCACGAGCACGCTCGGTTCGCGCTCCCGGCGAGAAGCGCTTTGTCCCCGTCCCCGCCCGCCCCGACCCCACTCGGGAGACGCGGGCACGAAGGGGAGACCGTGTATTCTTCGGGGGAACTTTTTCCTACACCCGCCTGACTGGCCGCCTTTAAAACGAAACCGGGGCCTCTCTGTTGGCGCAAGGGGTTAAGCACCGCACTGTGAAGCAATCCGCAGCCTCTGCAGCACGAGTTCGATCCCTGGTTCAATCCCTGGTTCGATCCCTGGTTCGATCCCTGGTTCGATCCCGGCCGGCCAGGGAGAGACCCGAGAGACCCACACAGGCGCGGCAGCCCCGCCCTGGCTCGCCCGCGGCTCCCTCAGCAGCGTGTTTCTGTCAGTCTCCTGGGCGCTCCATCTCTGGTGGATCCTCTCACCCCCACACCTCTGGCCTGTACCCCAGCTCTTGTATGCAAAAATAAATAAATCTTAAAAATATATATATATAAATAAAACGAAAACCAAGGCGCCCGCGGGAGAACCAGCCCAGAGAGGCGGGGCGCCGGCGCGGCTCCCTCTCGCGGGTCGTCTCCCCTCGCCCGCCCACCCGCCGGGCGGCGCTCGAAGCCGGGGCGCCGGGGCACGCACGGGGGCGCTGGCTCCCCACGCGCGGCCACGCACCCCCTTCCCTCCGCCCCGCGCCCGCGGCAGCCCCACCCGCCGGGCGCTCCCCGGGCACTCCCCGGGCACCCCGCTGGGCGGGGGGGGCGCCGGAAGCGCGTGTCTCCGGGGCGGGGGCCCCGCCGGCCTCCCGCGCGCTGCTCGGCCCTTTAAGGCGGGGTTTTCCGCCGCCGGCCTCGGGGGCGGGGAGGGGGCGCCGGCGGGGAGCGCGGCGCGCGGGGCCGTCTCCCGAGCCGTGAGTAGCGACCAGGCCGCGCCGCGGGCCCCGGTGAGTGGCGGGCCGGGCTCTGGGGCGGCCTCAGCGCGGCCCTGGGGCCTCGAGCCCCCTGGCGGTGAGGCGGGCGCCCCGCGCCGAGGAGGCCCGGGGGGCGCGGGCCCGAGTCCTCGCCACCCCCGCCCTCCCGGCGGCCGCGGTAGGAAGTACGCACCTGGCGGCCCCGGAGAGGGCCGGGCTGGGCGGGTTTGGGGGTGCGCAGTTCCTCGTGTCTGTTGTCTGTGTCCAGTCCCGCGGAGGGGGAGCTGCGGCCCCGCGTCTGCCCCGCCGTGTCCGAGGCCGGCTCCCCAGACCACGGACACCCACTCCGAGTGCGCGTTCGGGGCGCTGAGCGCGCGATCGGACGCCCCGACTGGGAAGGGATGGCGGGCGGGCCGAGTGGAAACGAGAAAACACTCTGGGGGTTGCAGCTGCGGTCAGCGCGGGGCTGGGCAGCTTAGCGCCCCCGGCTCGCACCCCCAGGGCCCTGGGCACTCTCTGCCGCTGGGCCGCCCGGAATTCAGAATGGTCACCCCAGAGCGCCTAGGGCACCCCGCAGGAGTCGTGCCGTTCAGGCTCTTATGCCCCAAGGCCGCCCTTGACGTGAATTCAGAGCAAATCCTCACTCCCCACTAGCCTCGGAGGAAGAGCCCCGCGAAAGGAGGTGGATACAGTCTCCCCTCAGCTCTGCCTTCTTATGACTGTACGCTGGCCTCAACACGCACGTGGAGCCACTTGAGAGAACGAATTTTGTGGCCAGAGCATCACCAGGATTATTTTGCCTAACAGGTTTGAGGGAGCAGAGAGGCCTTCTGCTCGGGGCGCAGGCGAAATGGCCCTGGTGCCTTATGACGAGAACGCGGCCGTGGGGCTGCAGAAATTCCACAAGCCTCTTGCCACCTTCTCCTTTGCAAACCACACGATCCAGATCAGGCAGGACTGGAGGCAGCTGGGAGTGGCCGCGGTGGTTTGGGATGCGGTGAGTAAGCAAGCCCCAGGGGGTGATGGGCGAGTGGGGTGTGTGTGTGTGGGGAAGGGGGGTTGTTCTGGAAAAGAGCCTCCTTTGATTCCAAGACTGCCCTTTATGTTTTTCAAAAAGTACTTCTTCACTGAGATACGGTTCGTAAGCCACGAATTTCACTTATCTAAAGAGTGATTTTTTTTAAAGTTAATTCAGAGTGGTGCAGTCATCCCCACTCACCATTTTGAAATATTTTCATCATCCCACCCCCTCTAAAAAAACTTCTACCCATTGGAATCACTTCTCTGCCCCCTCTGCCTCCTCAAATAGGTGTATTTTAAGGTTGAAGGAAGGGGAGCTGAGCAATGTTTAAGGACTTGGACTTGCCAGTAATTTACAGGAAGAGGTTGGGAGGGAGGACTCGAAGGAAGGCAGGGGCCCCTAACTGCTTGAGACATTCATCAAATTCATTTTTAAGTTAAAAAAAAAATTAAGTACTGCACAGAGAATGTTGAAAGTGCCAAATCGCAAAAGGAAAAATATGTGTTTTCTTTCTAAGTTTTCCATCAGTGTAGTGGGTACAAAATCATACTGTAATTGCTTTTTTACTTCTCCCAGCACCACTTGTGACACTGACTTGCACCTCACCTGGGACTCAGTGGGAGTCAGTTACTGTTGAATAAATGGCTGGCATAGATAGTTTTACAATCTGCAGTTAGCACTGTGTTAGGGTTGGTAAAGAAACGTTTAGAACTACAAATCATAATATAGCCTAATGATACCGCTTCTCAGAATCTAGCCCAAGACAACCGTGAAAAAATATTCCAGAAGTGATAATGATAATTAATAACAAGGAATGGCCGAGCCTCCTAAAGAAGGAATTGCCAGCTATGCTAACAGTATGTGGCCCTGAAAAACATTATATTAAAAAAATTATGTTAACAGTGCTTTAATAGAATCATATAAAATGCTAATTCAGACATCTAGTATCCAGAACTTTTGCCAAAACTTAACTCTTGATGTCCGGCAGATGCGGGCCACTATGGGGTAATGCCTATTAGGGACTCGGGGTTGAGACACAGCTCAGGAGCCTTGGACTCTGGGTGAAGTTGTGGCCCTGCTGACTTAAAGCTTGATTTAGGAACTAGACAGTCCCTTAAACAAACTCAGAGGCTGTTCAGCTCTGCCAGGGTAGTTTTGCAGATTCCCAAGTGTGGAAGTACTGTGACCCCTTGAGAAATTTACCTTCCCAGACTCAGCAGGACCCATCATGGAGGGTGGTGTCATTGACCACGGTGCTGCTGTTCCTCTTAGGGACTTAGGTGGGACCAGGCAGCCTTGCTGCAGGGCTTGATGCTTCCCAACAGTGGCTGAGTTGCTGCTGATGTAAAACTAGGAATTGAACCTTGCAGTGGGAGAGGGGTGTTGGGTGCCTTTCTGCCAGTGCGGTTAGCCTACTTGAGGGCACCGAATCTTAACCACCAGACCACCAGGGAGTGTCAGTAAACCTACTTGGAAACCCTTCAGCTCCCCAAGCAATGTTGGCTTTAATTATATCGCTGTGTTTTGACTCAGGCTGTCGTTCTTTCCACCTATCTGGAGATGGGCGCTGTGGAGCTCAGGGGCTGCTCTGCCGTGGAGCTGGGTGCTGGCACAGGGCTGGTGGGCATAGTGGCTGCCCTGCTGGGTGAGTGTGGCACTGTGGCTTTACCCCTTCATGAAAGGAACTCATTTAGAGGTCTCATGATGCAACACCCATTACTATCTTCCCGTAGCTGGGTTATATTCCTTTCTCCTGTACTTACGAGTTATGGGCCCGCTGCTGGTGCTGTTAACTCCAGTGAGTTAATTTCTCCTCTCTCTCATCCTGTCACTTATACTCTGCATGGGAGATCACCTTGCCCCCTCCAGTTCTTTCTGTGTGTCCTTGGTCCTAGTACTGCACCTGCCACACAGGGCAGAAAGAGATGGTTTTTTCCTTTTAAAGTACTTTCATTTCTTGTAACCTTAGTCATCTATTCTTGGTTCAGGGCAGACCCGCCCTGTGCCTAGCGCAGATTTAGGTACTACACCCAGAGGCGTGAGCAAGGCAGAGAGAGCGCTCCTCTCAGAGTGTTTCCAATGTAACCCTAACTGGGGGAGAGGAAGGAAATGAAAAGTTGACTTAGAAAGCAGGAAAAAAAAAAAAGTGTGATGAAAAATGTTAATGAGATTTTCCTCTTAAAAGCAGAAGTAACTGCTCACCGCTGGCGGTCAAGTTCAGGCTGCTCTGTCCTTTTCCGGCCTCACTGTGGCCTGGCCTGCATGGCGGGTCTTCTCGGAAATCTTGTTAAGTGGTGAAATGAGGGCTTGTCAGCTAATGGAATCTAGTGGATTGTGGAGTTAGAATATGAATCCTATTGACTCTCAAACCCTGATTCTTAGTTTGAAAAGCTCCACCCGGTTTTATGCTACTTGGAAACTATTTTTAGAAAAAAAATTCCAATTAAAGGTCGGACTCTGTAAGTTGGGATAGGGTCAGAGAATCCGGGTTTTTAATTTCTCAGGTGGTCTGATGCCTAACCAAGTTTGGGGACCACTGTCTTAAAATAGAATGCTCAGAAAAAAAATTGTCTCTTCATTTTCTACGATTCTAGTGCAAGTCTCCATTGAACTTTGAACTTACATGTTTCACTGAAAAGCTGCCTGCCTCATCCTGGCTATTTCTCAGCACCTCAGACAATACACATTTGAATTTCAACTCTTCTTCCCTTTTCAAACTTTCCCTTTCTCTTTTGTTCTGAGCTAACCTCACTATTTAAGTAGTCGCTCTAGTCAACTCCTTGACCCGTTCCGCCACACTCCCACCCCATCCCTAGAGCCTCGCTGATTCTTCTTTTACTGTGTCTTGATTCTATTCCTCCCTTTCTGTTCCCACTGCCTGGTAGGAACTCTCATCATTTCTGTGATTATAACCACATTCCCATCTGGCTTTTCTGTCTGCTTTGTCTTCACAACCCAGTCTCTGAGAGGAAAATGGGACCCACTTTCCTAATGGGCCAGAGTGGCCTGTATCAGCCATTCCTCTGCCTCCCCACTGCCTGCAGCCTAAATCTCAGGTGCCTTAGAGAGGCTCTGCGATTTCATTCTGCCTGACTCTTCAGCTTTACTCTTTTTTTTTTTTAAGTTTTATTTTTATTTCTGCATACAAGAACTGGAGTATGGGTCAGAGGTGTGGGTGGTGGTGGTGGGGGTGGTGGTGGTGGTGAGAAGATACATCAAAGACAGAGTGGGGAGCAGAACAAGCAGATCTACTGAAACACACTGCTGAGGGGAGCAGGGGGCGAGGCCGGAGAGGTCTGCTACGCCGTGTGGGTTAAGCTCCCTGGCTGGGTATCGAACTCAGGCCGCAGTGGCTGGTGATAACTTGATGTCTCTGAGACTTTAAGCCCTGTGCCACCAGGGAGGCCCCCCAGCCTTACTCTTTTGCAGGGTGATTGCACTGTTTGAATTCAAGGGACACACAGACACTGCTTTTGGTTTGTCCCTTCTGCCTTGAATGTTCTTTCTTTATCTGTTTTCCCCTGGCTAATGCCACATTTTTAAAGGTGTAAGCTTAGAATTCCCTTCCTTCCAAAATCTTTCTTTAACCTTTGTACCTCTTGAAAAATTTCACCTCTGTTGCCACATAATTTCCTGGCACACCCATTTCCTAGATTCCACTCCACATATTGGGTCCCATTATGTCTACATGTCTCTCTTCCTCATGAGACTGAGTTCCTAGAGGGCAAGGATTTTCTCAATCCTCTCTGTAGCTCTAACACATAGTGTGTGAGCAAATGTTGAATAAATGCAGGCATTGCTTATAGAACAAAAAGCTAAAAGTTATGACAGATATTTACATTTTCTTTTTCCATTACCAAGGGAGTGACAGCAAGCTATTTTGTCTTACTGGATCAGTTTTCATTAGTTTTTTTGTGAACTAAGACTGCCTCATTTCCTCTTATCCATTGTAATCTCAGAGGCTCACCTCACCCTTCCTCGCTTGATCTTTTTCACTAGGGACAGATCTAATTAAGTGCAGCTCCCACATGTTCCAAGTCTGTGCCTCTGGGTGGGTGTGGCTGGACGAGATGTCCTTCTGCTGGGTCTCATCTAAAACCCCGATCAAGAAACTTGAGAGTGCTCTTGGTGCTGCTTAGAAGACACACCCTACCTTCTCTCCTGTCTGCCCACCTCTGTTCCTTCCTTCTCCATTCGCTGTCCTTGTCCCTTAGCTGATGACATTTCTCCTTTCACTGAGCACATTGAAACAATCAGAAGAGAACTTCTCTAACCTTCCATTACCGCCTTTAACCCACCTGCGTCTCTGCCTTTGTGCAGGTGCAGATGTCTGCCTGACATGGCCAGTCCCTCCTCACCTGTTCAGACATTGCTCCAGTGCTGTTCTCGCCTGCATCTACCTGTTCATTCTCACTAGCACACAAACTTGTGTTTCTCCCACCTAAAAATTGACTGACTTTTAAATCAATTTAAACTTAAAAACCAGCCAGTTATTAGTAGCTGATTCTTGGTCTGTGGCAGGAAATGTGTAAGACAACCCAAAAATATCTTGTCATACCAGGTAGCAAGGGAGTTCTCCCAGGTGACTGGGGCTGTGTCAAAAGTCCACTGGCAAATGATTGGACAATTTGAACAGCAGCAATGATAACAGCAGTGGATTTAATACATCAGATATATTTAACCCATGAGTTCATAGCATAAAACAAAAATGTAAACCTAATTAGTCATCTTTGGAGGATATTAGAAACCAACTCTTTGAAATCATATTTAAAAATGGGGGAGAGGGCACAAAAGTTGTCTTTCTGTTTTATACAAAATGAGTAACCACATTGAAAGAAACTTCCCTTTAAAGAAATTTCCTGAGCAAATGCAAAAGGATCTAATGAAGTAAGGATCTGGACATTGGGTATTTGTAGCTGCCTTACCTTGTGAAAATGGACCCTTTCACATCTCACAGAATGAGATCTGAGGAAAATGCACCACCACCTCTGAGAGGGTCTTGTTAAAAAAATCAAACTCAGGGTCTCCCTGGTGGGTCAGGGGTTAAGATGCAACCTATGAAGCTATCCACAGACACTGAAGCATGAGTTCAATCCCTGGCCAGGGAGCTACCCACATGGTGCAGCAGACCTCTCCTGACTCACCTGCTGCTCACCTCAGCAGTCCATTCAATCTACCTGTTCTGTTCTCCACTCTGCCTCTGGTGAATCCTCTCACCCTGCACACCTCTGGCCTGTACCCAGCTCTTGTATGCATAAATAAATCTTTAAAAAAAAAATCAAACTCAGATTGACAGAGGACAGAGGAACTATACAAATGGTAAAATTTACAAAATTGTAGTAAACTATAGGACAAAATAATTGTTTTTTTTTTTCCTAAATTGCAAGGACAAAGACATAGAAAGGAACTGATAGATTGAAAGAAACTTGAGGCATTCTCTGTGCTCTTCCTCATAAGCAAATGAAACCACAGGCAAAGCTGTAATGTTTAGGGATGGACATTTGGGTGATTAAACTCGTGACTCATGAGGAAGAGTCCCATGAGAGTCAGGAGAGGTGCCCCTCACAGGAGGGTTTGAGGGGTGGCTTGTGACAGGGTGACGAGGGTGGTTACAGCAAGGGACGAGCCACCAGCCTCCTCCATCTGAATTAGTGTGGGGTCTCCTTGATTGTGGCCCTGCCTCATTACTAGGAGTTCCTTTAAAACCCAAGTTAGAAGCTAGCTCATTGGCACTTCTGTTTAGTAGTCGCTAGTGGCTTCCCATGGTGCCCAGAGGTCAGTCTTTTCAAAATACAACCTATAAGACCCTAAACAACCTGCCTCCCTCCCTTTCTCTGATCTCATCTCCTACTATCTTCTGCATTCATTCATTCATTCCAGCCACTCTGGCCTCCTCACCTGCACCCCCTTTAGGCCTTTGCACCTGTTCTGCTGCTACCCTTGATATGTACTCTGTAATTTCCTCACTTCCTCTATGCCTTTACCTGAGTTGCCTCCTCAATGAGGCCTTCCCTTTCTACCCAATCTACGATTTCACACCCACCTCCCTTACTAGCTAACATTTCATGTCTCCATTGTTTTCCTTATTCTGTCTCTCCAACCAACATACCAGATATTCCACTTTAAAAAACCTCTTATTGTCTGTCTCCTCAGTTGAATGTAAGCTCTATGTGGATAGGGGTTTTTGGCCTATGATTGATGGTAGGTATTTGTAGAGTGGATGAATATCAGGATCCTGTTAAAACTCCAGGGATATATTTAGAAGTAGCTTTAGATATCCTGAAACATTAGAGAAGATGTACCTCTAAAAGCTATTAAAATGAACACTGAGGTGATGTACAAAGACTAGGTCACTTCATTGTTGCCAGCGAAAGTACTTTGTAGATGGTTAAGAAATCTAAAGATAAAACTCTTAAGTCAACAAGGAAGAAGGCCATCTGTGACTTTAATCATCAAGAGAAATGAGCAGTGTCACTGAATTCTGTTTATAGGCAACACATTGAGTAGCAAATGTGGTCTAAGTGGTAGGTCCGTGCTTGTAAAATTGAACAACTTGAACAAGACTATAAAAGTCAAATGGAATTACATACCACCCTAATATTATGGGTCAAGATATGTGACATTGAAATGTTTCATACCAATGCTTACTGGCACTCTCTGGCATACCATGGGGACTGCCCGTGGAGATTACTAGCTGAAGAAGCATGCAAATAAATAATTTTATGAAAGAATAAAACATAATTTTAAATTGCAGAATCTATGGGGCCAAAGCTTAGCAGAATTGTACTTATTGTCACTACATGTAGATGAGGTGTTTCAGAGTAGCAGTTCATTCTTCTCTCAGTCTTACTGGTTCAAAAAAAAATCACATCTTTTAATTCATTCCACAAGAAACAGATTAATAAAATACTGCCTCATTATTTTATGCATTGCATGTAGAAACTTAGCTCTTATATAACATGATCTCATCTTACCCCTTTGTATTTTAATAAAATCTAGTAGTTTCTAAATTTACCATTTTCCAATAATTAGGTATTACATAAATACAGGTTGGCAGGACTGGGATTCCTGCATAGCCAGTTAACTCTTCCTTAATTCTTTTTAAAGTTTTGACTCCAGAAAGTAGCCTCTCTCTATTTTTGGTATCTTGTCATCTTTATAATCATTTACAACTAGATTTTCATTCTTGGATGGTTTTACACTGAGACCTACTGATTTGAGTTGGGAGCTAATGAGTGAAGCACAGACAGCTGGCGAGGGTGGGCCAGCTCTGCCTGCAGAATTCAGAAGCATCAGCCTGTCCACTTGGGACTCTGCATTTTATAAATACAACTTGAGCAAATAGCAAGTTTGTCAGTGACAAAACAAGGTTTACTTTTACTAATAGGCAGTGCAAAAGGAGCTATTGATCATTAATTTGATCTGCTGCAGCCGGCCATGAAGGGCATGATCTTTTGCACATCAGGAGGTAATTTAGAGACCCTCAGCCTGCCTTGTTCATTTTTATTTTTTATTTTATGTATTTTTTACATAATTTTTCATTTTTTGCACAATGTATGCATTTTCATTTTGGTTATAGTCCCCATACAATTCCCACCTCCCTTAGTTTGACCATAATCCCTCCCCCCCCACCCCCCTTAGTGTGTCTCTGGTTCAAGAAATTTGGTACATACCAAATACATGGAATATTACTCAGCAATCAAAAAAGATAACCTTATGCAATTTGCAGCAACATGGATGGAGCTGGAAGGGATCATGCTCTATGAAATAAGCCAGAAAGAAAAATTCCAGATGGTCTCACTCCTAGCAGGAATTTAGAAAACCTAAATAAGGGACCAGGAAAAAGACTAATTATAATAAAGTGAAAATTGAAACCATCAGTCTGCCTTTTAACTTGAGTGCTAACCTATTAGTTGTACTGATGTTTACATTACTCTCTCTGTCCCACATTCTAGGTGCTCAAGTGACTATCACGGATCGAAAAGTAGCATTAGAATTTCTTAAGTCAAATGTTCAAGCCAACTTACCTCCCCATATCCAACCCAAAGCTGTTGTTAAGGAATTGACTTGGGGACAAAATTTGGGGAGTTATTCATCTGGAGAATTTGACCTGATACTTGGAGCTGATATCATATATATAGAAGAAACATTCGCAGATCTTCTTCAAACATTGGAACATCTCTGTAGCAACCACTCAGTGATTCTTTTAGCTTGCCGAATTCGCTATGAACGGGATAACAACTTCTTAGTGATGCTGGAGAGGCAATTTACTGTGAGTAAAGTTCACTATGACCCTGAAAAAGATGTACATATTTACAAAGCACTGAAGAGAAACCAGAGGGAGGACTTATAATTGACCATATTTATAGGAATGTTGTCATTGAGTGTCAGTGGAGATCTTAGACTGGAACTCTAACAATATTTCATAAAATGGCTTCCTGAACACAAAGTGTAAAGGTTCTCATCAGACAGCACAATGTGAGGTTTTACAGCAGAGCCCCATGTGTTCCATTGCGTTTTTTGGTCATATTTTACTCTGAAGTTCAATTAACATTTAAAGGCAAGTCTAAGACTTTTGATTTATGTCATTTCTGTATCCCATACCGCTCCCTTTTCATTCCCAGTTCTGACAACCTGGTACAAAGGCATCTCCAGTGTAGTAAGGTTGTTTGAATGAGGCAATATCATGCACATCATATATATATAAGGTCTGATTTTCTAACTTTGAGTATTAAACAAGGGGTTTAACAGACATTCCCTGAGCTTTTAATGCTCCTGAAATCTTTTGTCTGCCTCACCTGTAGGTCTTAAATACTTTTGGTTGTTTTGTGATTAGGGTAAATGTCTTCTGAGTCTCATACCCTGTTTTTTTGTTGTTGTTGTTTTTTGGCGGGGGGCTGTTTCAGACAAATAAACAAAGAAATAATAAAAATAAAATTTTATTTACTTTTTGAAAGCTCCATGGATTTCTTTGTGCTGTGACTTGTGACTTGGTTACCTTCAACTCAAAAGCCGTTCCGTTGTTTTTCCCTTTCTCAGATGTGATTTTACATTTTTTTCCTGGACTTCTGCCTCCTTACAATGCATAGAATGACAATGAAAACAAGTTTTAAATTTCATCTCTCTGTGACAGGTTATAATCTCCTTCCATGTTGTACTTGCAATGCTTCAGTATTCCCTAGGACACTGTAAGCCTCCTGCCTTTTACATTGTTGCCCTCCCTAGTATCTAGTATATTATAACCAAATAAAAATGATTATCTTTGATATATTTTATAAAGTCATACACACAACCCCCTTTTATTACAATGTAAAAGTTTAAACAACAGCTTAAAAAATTTAGACCGCAATAGTATTATAATTGTAGTATGGTATTTGGTACTAGGCATAAATTTCTTTGGTTAAACATTAGAAACAAGATGTTTTTCTTAACCTTTATTGAGTATCTTGGATATGACAATACCCATTACATTTTTACATATGTTTTACTTAAAGGCAAATAAAAGTTTTGAGCATTCTATCATGTAGCAGAATAACATAATTAAGAGACATGCACGAGTTGCAAATAGCCACAGCTTGCCAGATCCACAAAATGCTAGTCCTGTGCCATCAACATGGAAGGTCTTTCAAAACAAGAAAAAAAAGTCCTGAAATACCATTAACACTGTAATGAAAGGTCAATCTCATTTATGCGTTATTATAAATGAAGTTTGGCTCTTGTAATTAACATCCCTAACTTTGGGTGGGAATGGAGAACTTCGACAAGATGCCTGGATGTCCTATCGAATGAAGTAAACAGTGATTGGGTTGTTTTCACAATTTTTTAAGATTTTATTTTATATATTTTTTACATCATTTTTCATTTTTGCACAATGTATGCATTTTCATCTTGGTTATAGTCCCCATACAATTCTCACCCACCTTGTTTTGATCAGAAGGGATTAAAGGAAATTTTTCTCGACCAAAAATAGAAGGCAAGAAAAATTCAACAGTAGTTTGGGTTGTTTAAATGAAAATGAAATGATTTTCTTAAGTTTAAAATGTTACTGGTCAGGCATCCTGGGGAAATAAACTCAAAATGGAGGTTAGGGTGCAGAAAGTTAAAATGCGCATGCTTTTTTGACCACCATCTCTGAGGGATTAAAATAAGCGGGGTTGAGGAACAGGGTGAGGTTGGCCTGGAATGAGTCAAAGAAGTCCTCATCAAATCCTTCAATGCTGGGATGGCCCTGCAGTCAGTCATATTCAGGCAAGGGGATAGGCCTTTGTACCCATGTGATGATCAGTCAGTGAATGTAGGGACATGACCTTGAACTAAACAGAGGGACTCTGTTTACAGCCACCACCCACCAACACTGGCAGTATTGGAGAAATGAGGGCTTTGGAGGTGTGTGTATGTGTTTTTGGGGTGGGGTGGGGGAGGTAAGGTGGGGGGTTGTGGAGAGGGAATCTACCTGGATAGCATGAAAGGATTAATGTATCCCATAAACTTGTATTTTAAGTATGCTTGTTTTATCCTCAAGGATAGAAGCATAGTCTAAACCTATTTTACTAATAAGCCTCGATTCTCACACAGGTCATTTATTCACTGTCACACTGTTAAGTTATACAGTGGGTTTTGGTAATTTTTTCTCCAGTTAAAACCAAATACTGCTGCCAAGGTTCCCTCTTAATGGTATCTTGCTTTTAGTTTATGATAGACTTATCCAAAACCATGGTGCCATCTTCAAATAGTTTCTAGTAGGACATTTATTCTTTCATATAAAAGAATCAGAATTCTAATCAAAATCCTTTACTGCAATTGAATGATAGGAAAAACCAACATTGTCTGCAATGTGTTATCTTACCACACATAATGTATGCTCCTAGAAGACAAGGACTATACCTCGATTATATTCTTCAGTTGTTACTAAAGAACCTTGTTCATAAAAGTTCAGTAGCATTTAACTCATGTAGATTCTTTTACCATAGATCTTGTATTGAACTACCTAACTTCGCTTTATTCTCTTTGCTCAAGGTGTAAAGGATAAATTCTCAGGCAGGGATAGAAAAAAATAAAAGCATACTCTCAATAACAAAATGATGCAATATTTAAGAAAACAAACATGAAAATTTAAGTACTTTAAAAAAATCACTTTATAATGTACCCAGTATTGTTTTAAGGTCCTAGATAGGGTCTGACTTAATAGTTGGTGAAACAGATGACCGATTTCAGTGTTAAGAGAATTAATCATTATTTTGCTGTTCCCCAGAACCTCCACAAAGACACAAGTAGGTAGCATTTTCAAAGTCCTCTAACAAGAGTGAGGGGAGATACCACAGTGGATATAGAGCCCTTCTCTGGGATGCTGGAGACTTGATTTCTTTTAGCACAGACATGAAGTCAGAGCAGTTCCTTATGTTTTTGGGTTATTTTCTGCTTTACAGATTGAGGGTTTGTAATATACAATTTTGTTTCTGCTCTAAAAGTCATGTTGTGCTTTTCCCCCTAGTTAGGGAATGATCAAAATTTAATAACACTACAAACAATGGCATATTGTTTTTTTTCTTACCAAGAACCACCGTTTCTTTAATAAGAAAAAGAAGGCCCACCTATCATAACCTTGTATATGGCTGGTTCTGCTTCTTTCAACTTTTCTTCTAAAAGATTGTGAAGCTTAACATAAAAATATACTAACGAACATGATTTTAGTTAACAGGTTCTTTAATTCTTAGAAAACAATTTCCAAACATGAAGCAATACTTAAATGGTTTCCACTTCTCAGTATCTATGCTGAAGCTATATTAGCTTATAGTATCAATATTATCTATACTTGTGTATGTCTGTAACAGTCAAACGTTACGAACCACCTAAACAGCCCCAAGAGGGTTCTGGTTAAACTACCTATTCGATGGGATACTACATACTTGTTAGAAAGATTTGTAGATATATACTGAAACAGAACTATTGCTAAGACACATTCAGTGAAAAAACCATTTATATAAAAAGGGGGACGAGTATACATTTGCATACATTGCACGTATGTACACAGATTGTCACTAAAAGCATACAGGAAATTCATGTTTCCTTCAGTACACTGGCAGATGTTAATAAACACATGACAATTAAAAAAAAAGGAATTTGAATAAATCCAACTACTTATTTTCAAAAGTTGAATCAGTAGTATGATTGATTTTTATGCTTTGAGCAAAGAGCAGCTTAGCCACACCCACTCCTTTTCCATTTTATATCACAGAACTTTTGAATTACCTGGGTACTTGAGAAGGTATTCTTATTGTTCTTCTAAAGCACACATACATTTTATGACATTAGACAGTCATGTGCCTCCCATTAGCTGTCTCAGTAGGGCAAATCTTCAAATAGGCATTGTTCAGTCTTACTGAAAAAGTGCTAAAAATTCAAAATACAGTAAAATTGCAGATATGATCTTATTGCCTGAGTGTTTTTGTTGCTGTGCAACACAAGCTTGTGACATATCCTAATGTGATGAATGTTCATGTAACAAAATAACCCTAATTCCACAATGCAGCTTAACACTATTGGCAGAAGCAAAATAAACATTCCATCCCCAAAAAAGAGACTTACAGAGGTTTTAAAAGCATGTTTATGTGACTGCACATAAATGTTTGTGTAAAAAGGGCATTATGACAGTTGATACCACAAAGATTACAGTAAGAAAAAGCACTTTATGACAATATTTCACAAATTCACAAGGATCACTTTAATATACAAAGCAACTGCTACCATTCTGAACACAAAGCATCTAATATGTACATAGTGTTAATAAAATGCATTATAACTCAGTACATTTTTTTCTCTTTACACAGATAAAGCACAAAGATTTAGGTAAAAAAATTAAAACAGGGATGTTTCTAGAATGTAGGGAATTTTGTTAGAAATGTATTTCCCTCATTATAGTTATCTATTTAGTATTCAACTCTAATAGCAACATCAGAGTTAAAAATCAATACCCTGTTTTGTGCTGATAGTTTTGGGGGAGGTATCTTAACCCCAAATCCTCAAGAAAAAAAAAAAAAAAAAGCAAAGAAAACCAAACACCTTGCTCTCTAGAAACTTCCCTGATTATTTTATTTCTAAAAAGTTTCAAATGATACTTCTAGGTTTAGAAATAATTCCTTTTTTGGACGGGGATGACAACTGACAAGTGGACAACTCAGTTGGGGACAACTTCACATGGAAAACTGCTAACTAGCACTCTTCTCTGCCACCCCTAATAAATTTAGACCCACAGAATAATGTTGACAAAATTATTTTCTGCTTTTAATATAAATAATTTTATTACATACACACACACTGGAGTGGCACCTGGATAAAAATGTCTATAAAGCACTTACCAGTTCAATTTAAAAACATAAGAAAATAAACTTCCCAAACATAATGGTAGATCATTTTACTTGGCCAACTAAAGATCATTATCTGCAGGGATTTTCTTTCTTCCCTACCAATGTTTAAACTATCTCAGATTTATTCTGACATCTCTGAGATGTTCTTCAGACAGAAGTTTGGAAATACCGTACAGAATTCTGTAGGCAAGTATTAAATAATGCCTTTATGAAATAGTACAATTTGCAATTTCTACTGTTTGACCCTTTCCAAAGAAACAGCCTGAAGATTGTTCATTTTCATTTTACTTGCTGGTGAGAAAAATTTGAAATGTATCATGTCATACCCAGCTAGGACCTGCACCCACAGTACCAGAATGCAGACAGGTCAATGTTTTCTCTGTGCTAAACAACTCCGCCTGTTCATAATATCAACTTGCTTCACAGGCTTTGTTCAATTTTTTTTTTCTATTTTAATTTTTTTAAAAAATAAATTTCAAGCTAAAACACCTGAAATATAATCCCTCCAAACATTATCTGGTCCCTCTTTAAAGTTTGTCTGCCCCCTGAGGACACATACAAAGGCTTAAGCTACATTCACTAATCAATAAGAACTTATCATAAGCAGATGAGACAGATGGAACTTCAGCACCCTGTTTGATTTATTTGAAATTCTTCCATACTGACTCAGCTTCATGATATGTTCATCCCCCGAGGGATTAGTGCCTCTTCTGGCCATTGATTCTAGAAAGTCAAGGAAACCAGTTCCTAGTACATACAGTGACTGTTCAGTTAACTTAAAAAAAGTCAACGTATCAACATTAAAAGTATTCAAGATGCATGTAAGCCATCCAACATGTTTTAGTTGTGCTTTGTACAACTGAGTGAACAAATTTATCTCACAACTCTTCACTTCTAAGCACAGCTCACTTTCCCCCCTCATCTGAAACCAGTCAAATTTAGGCAGCATTTTTTTTGAGGTTAAAGCCAATTTAAAGTGGAAAAAAATTTAGTGAAATGATTGCATGTGGTTTCCATGATGACAATAATTAAATGCTTTAAAAAATCTTTTACTGTTCTTGACAAATTCATGAATATCTTACATCCTATAGACAGAATTAACATTGGGGTAAGGATAGTTATTCATTCACTTGAATTGCTTTTCCTTCTGTTTTTATCTTTTACCCATGATGAAAAAGTAAGATAGGGTTCAAACCCACCTTTTTAATTAGGCTAGTCAGGTCTAGTTGCCTGATGTGTTTCTTTTACAGATATTTTTAAGCCTAGCCTTTAGGTGCTGAAATAGTATCACATGATTTGAACAGAGGAGATACGAAAGTCAATTTGCAATTGATGAGGGAATTTTCAAGTTGCTAACACCCACACTGGGTCATTTTTAAAAGTGCAAGTTACACCAGACATTTACAAAGAATATAATGTAAATATAACCCAAATAAATATACAACTTTTGTATTAGATCAATGGGTAACAATATACCTATGATTTCAGGACTACAAAGGCAACAAAATCAAGCCTCTTGAAAATAACTGAAACTGTGTGTAACCACTGTTCTTGAAATCCACTTTAATTCAAAATTTTAAGATAGTAGCTTTATTTAGTCCTGTAAAATGCATCAGACTTTTGATCTTCAAAATAAAGAGACTGTTTTATGCTAATTGCTTGCTCTGTAGCTGATCACAGAATTAAAAACATTAAAAATGGAAAGAAATCTAGATTGAAGTCATTCAAGTAAACAAAAGTATCCTGGTTTAGACAAACTTGTTTCTTCCTAAGCCTTTGTATGATTCCACATGCCACTCCAAATGGTTAGAATGATAAGGATTTGGCCTGAGAGAGAGAAACTTCAGCCAGATGACTTCTGATGGAACAGCCTGCCTGACTGGTATTGTGCTTTCAGATACTAGCACTGCTGCTGACCTACCACTCAAACACATTTTCTGACAAAAATCCCTGCTTAAATGACAACACTAAAATTCCTCCCCCAGGATGATTTCTGAAAAAATCAGTGGTACCTTTTAGAAGCTATCTTCAAAATGTTCTTACCACTGTTATAGCTGCCAGAGACAAAGCAAAGAACCAAATACTTTGGGGAGAGGGGGAGTTTTCAAGTGACTAGTAACATTTTAAAAGTATCAAGCCAAAGAAAACTAACAGTAAAAAATAAAATACTTGGAAGAAAAATAGATCATGAGTGCTGGAGTAATGCAGTCCAAGGAACTACCAAAAGGGATGCAATAGAACACGCAAAAATGTAAAATTTCATCTGACCTCAATATACTCTAATACTCAGCATTCCTGACTTAAAAGCTCTCAGAGCCTCAGATTATATACTGTATGTATATATATATATTTACACATATATTATACAAATGCCATTTCCCCCCCTAAGAATATCTAAATGAACAGAGCACCTTTGACAAATTATGGTTGCCAATATGGTACTTGAGTTTGAATAAGAATGAACTTAAAATTGTATCTGACACCAATTTTTTTAATAACGTGAACACATTGGATCTAGCCCTTTCTAAACCACTTTTCAGTTAAACACTACCAAAGCTTGAAAACTCATAAGAGTATTATATCAAAAATAAACCCCTCCCACTTAATTTTATTAGTTAAATCTGTCCTATAGATAAAAGTGCCACATGGCCTATATTTGCAAAGTGAGCAATACCAAACTTGCTATTTTCTAAGCAAATCAGTAGCTTATGTACAGATTCCTATGATGACATTTTCATTTCCTTTTTGGCCAATAAAGAAACATTATTATTGGTATTGTGGCCACGTTTTTGGCTACAGGTTTTTTTTTTTTAAAGTATATCATTTTCTTAATAAAGATTCTCAAAGTAGCATGCTTAAAAACGAACACCTTTTATACCAACTCATTAAAAAAGTCTGCACAAAAGATGCTTAATTTCTATCTGTATAAACTGAAATGTTCAAGTCTCTCCAACTTGTCTAAAACAAATTTCTTACCTCACCTTTAAGCATTAAGTAACTGACTTCAAACCAGTGCAATCATCCTCTAGGTACAAGGATCTTTTGTAACTTACATGTAAGTTATTTATAACTTATAAATCCAACGAGCTATTATGGATATGATTGCCTTGATTTATCAGGGACTAAGACGACGACCAACTTTATAATTAAAAATCTCAATTTTTGAAAAACACTTAACTTTTGAGCATACAATTTGCTAAATACCAGACAATTTTCATTTATAAAAACTTATGACATTCAAAATGTTCAATTTTGACTCATTAAGAAAAGTTCTAGTTTGTGAAAAGATTTGTGATTTTGCTTGGTTTCTGTTTAGCCAGTTTTGGAAAATGACTTAGCTATGCTGGTAAACAATTAAATTTTATGCTGTAACTTTCCCCATTAGCTCAGCAGGATATACATCAAACTTTACAGTTGTTTGAAAGCCTTCTTGAGACTCTGGTGAATTGTCCAAATATAAGACTACATCACTCAATTCTTAGAATGAAGCTCCTTCATAAACTTTGTTCATCCTTGAAAAAAGACAATGGTTTGTTACAAACAAAAATATACCATTTACAAATATTAATTAAAAATTTTACTTTTCAAAATGGACCCAAAAATTAATGCCCATATCTGCATATTTTGTTAACACATAAGAAACTTGACCTTCAAAAATAACCCATGACTAAATATAAAGCAATAATTTTCTAGACTCTTTTTAAAAGGAATACCTTTTCTCAAATGAGAAATTATAATCTAACAATGTCAGTCTCCATTTCTTTATATCCACCTTAGTCTTATTTGCCTTTAAAGGGTAACTTTAAAATTTATCAGGCTTAATGAGTAATTAATAATTAAAAGTATTGGAAACAATGTATGATACATACAAATACAGACTGTTAATAGGAGTTAAAACAAGTAGCTCCTTTATAAAATGACAAAGGCTACAGAGCATACTCAAAAGCTAAAGCATCACTGTCCTTTTTAGAAGAAAATGGCTTAGTAAGAATGACAATCCAAACAGTCCAGTGTAGCAGTCATTCGAATATGTCTGGAGAAAATTAGGTTTTTTTTACATAAGTCTACACCCTTACGTACAACTGTATCCTTACAACACCTTTCATTAGAAAATTCATTAGGGATCCTTGCTAAAAGTATGTTACTATGGGAAAAAATTTAACATCAGATTTTTTATAACATAACATTTTATAAACAAATATATCACTTTATTTAACATCTTGAAGGCTTTCCTGATGGTGGCATAATGTAAGTGCAAAGGGGAAAGTATAATCAGAGATTTTTTTTTTTTAAGTAAATGAGTGACAATATAAATATTTTTGAAGCGATGACAAAAACATTTATTTAAAAACCTTGTTATGTAACTCAAGGGGTATGCTTACTAATGAGCATCTTTTTTAAAACTAGGAATTTAGTACTAACTAAAACAAGCTTAGTACTTTTATTTACTTCAGTTTAATTTAAAATTCAAATACCATGTTTTTCATCTGTTGTTTACTTCTTTCAATGTATTCAGAAATGTTGAACACATACAGAATTGAATTAATAAGAAGCAACAACTGCCCCATGGAAGAGCTATAGTTAATACAGAATGTTTTTAAGAACCAAGGACAAGTTTTCAGTATTAAAGTAGAGAGTGAGAATGTACATAGAAAACACTCCAAATTCATTCTTAGTTTCTTCAATACCATACTTAAAATTCTCTTTTAGTGGGTATGTATCTTAACAATCGTACATAATTCACAATGAGAATGTGAAAACATGTCAATTTGGCAATCAACACTTCTTCATTGCACCTTACTTACTTTATGCATGCGGCCCACACATTACTTCAGCTCAAGAGGCTGGGGTAATTCTGTCCCTAAGGCAATCAAGGAGCTCAGCACAAACCTTGAAATCGTTAAAAAAAAATTTTTCTCTTCCTCATTTCTCCCATCAATTTACAGGTAAACAAATTATTTCTTCTTGAAGAGGGTGGGGGATGAAAAGCAGAAGTCTCTTCATGATTCCTTGCGCTGAAAATTTCTTGAGGGGAGAAGTGGAGGCAGGTGTTGGAACATTCACAGTTGAATGCAAAAGCACAAATGAATGATATTCTGTAGTTGCTTTCAGGCAGTTTTGCGCATAGAAAAAAAGAAATGTTTAGAAAATAAAATGTTTATTTTGTCTTTGTTTGTGGCCAAGCCAGTCCTTTTTTCACCATAATGGGTGAAAATGAAATCCCAAATTAATCTGATTTGTGGCAGTAAAGGTCTTTAAGTGCTTTTAGCTCCTCAATCAGTGTCTTGTTTTGGTTTTCAAGCACTGCCACTCTGTTTTCTAAACATTTCACATATTCTTTCTTCTTCCTACGACACTCTCTTGCTGCTTCCCTACAAAAGCAAAAGGAAGGCAGGAAAAATTATGAAGCATTTCTCCATAATTTATTTGGGGTTAGAGTACATTTTTTTCTTTTAAAGAACTACCTCAAAGAAAAACATTTTCATATATTACAAATTAGGCATTTGAAAAAATGTACATGACTTGGAAATTGCCTTACAAAAATTTTAATACACCACAGAAGATTGATATTAAAAAAATCCCAAATGTGAAATTACATCAAAAGAGCTGAATGATACTAAGTAAGTTTTACTTTGAAAAACACCCCTTAAATAGAAAAATCTCACATTCCAGAGCATTTTAAAGTCTCTAACACAATAATCTCTTGAACAATACTGGGAAAGCTGGATACACACATGAAAAAGAACGACAATAGACCTTAACCTTTTTTTTTTTTTTTTAAAAGATTTATTTATTTATTTATACAAGCACTGGGTACAATCAGAAGCCCGGGAGGGTGAGAGAATTCACCAGAGCAAGAGCGGGGAGCAGAACAGGCAGACTGACGAAGTACACTGCTGAGGGGAGCGGCAGGCGCGGCAGGAGAGGTTTGCGAGCCATGTGGGACCCTTGCTGGCGCTGGCCAGGGATCGAATGAGTGCTGCAGAGGCTGAGGGCAGCTTCGCAGCCCAGCGCTCAACCGCTGTGCCACCCGGGGAGGTCCCTGGACCCTTAACTTATATACTCAAAAATGGATTAAAGACAAAGAGGTAAGACCTAAAATTATAAAAATTTCTAGGCAGCAAGGGAAAACATCAAGACAATGTATTTGGCTATGATTTTTTAGCTATGCCATCAAAATAAAAAAATAAACAAGGCCACATTAAATTAAAACACTAAATCAAAGGATACAACAAAGAAAAGGCAACATATGGAATGGGAGAAAATATTTGCAAATCATGTATTTAATAAGTTAACATCTAGGATATATAAAGAACTCTTATGGGCATCCCTGGTGGCACAGCGGATTGAGTGCAGCGCTGTGAAGCTGTCCGCAGCCTCTAGCATGGGTTTGATTCCCAGCCGCCAGGGAGATACCCACATGGTACGGCAGACCTCTCCTGTCTCGCCCACTGCTCCCCTCAGCAGTGTCTTCAGTCCATCTGCCTGTTCTGCTCCCTGCTCTGTCTCTGGTGGATTCTCTCACCCTCCCGCGCCTCTGGCTTGTACCCCAGTTCTTATATAAATAAATAAATCTTTTTTTTTAAAAAAAGAAGTCTTATAACCCAATGACAAAATAAACTGATTAAAAATGGGCAAGGATGGGGCCTCCCTGGTGGAGCAAGGGGTTAGGTTAAGTCTCAGCACTGTGAAGCTATCTAGCCACTGTAGCAAGAGTTCGATCCCTGGGAGCTAACCCGTATGGCACAGCAGACATCTCCTGTCTTGCTTGCTGCTCCCCTCTGCAGTTTATTTCAGTAGATCTGCCTGTTCTGCTCCCCACTCTGTCTCTGGTGAATTCTCTCACCCCAGCTCCCCTGGCCTTCAGTACCCTAGTTCTTGCATGCATGCATAAATAAATAAATAAAACAAATCTTTAAAAAGAAAACACAATTAAAAATAATTGTTTAAAAAATCTAATAGAGGGCCTCCCTGGTGGCACAAGGGGTTAAGACACAACCTATGAAGCTATCCGCAGCCACTGCAGCACAAGTTTGATCCCTGGCCAGGGAGTAACCCACATGGCGCAGCAGACCTCTCCTGACTCACCCACTGCTCCCATCTCTGCCTCTGGTGAATCCTCTCACCCACTACACCTCTGGCTGGTACCCCAGTTCTTGTATGCATAAATAAAGAAATCTTTAAAAAAAATAAAAAATCTAATAGATTAAAATTTTTTTGGCAACCTATTAAGTCTAAATTAGAAAGCTATAATATATAGATAGTGGAAACATTTTATTCTTTAATATCCTTACTCACTAGCACAGGGATTGGTACAAGGCAGATACTCATTAATGAATGAACAAAGTTTAAAGCAAAAATATTTTAAGTCTTTGAAAAATGAAAAAAGTAATTTACTACAGTGGCATTACACCATAGCAATTAAGAATACTGTCTTTGGTGTCAGATTCCTAGGTCTACGTGGTTTTACCTCTTACCAGCTATGTGACCACAGGCAATTTACTTAACTTTAGTTTCCTGACTGTAAGAAGAGAATATTATCTCAAAAGATTTTTAAGGAACCACATGCAAAAAAATGAAACTAGACCACTACCTTTCACCATGCACAAAAATCGACTCAAAATGGATAAGAGAATTGGACATAAGACCTGAAACCATAAAATATATAGAAGAAAATATAGGTAAAACACTACAAGACATATATCGCAATAACATCTTTATAGACTCATCACCCAAAGCAAAGAAAATCAAGGAAAACATAAACAGCTGGGATTACATCAAACTGAAAAGCTTCTGCACAGCATAAGAGACATTAACCAACACAGAGAGACACCCCACTGACTGGGAAAAGAATCTTTGCACTCCAGTCAGCTGATAAGGGACTGATCACAAAGATATACAAAGAACTCACAGGACTCAACAAAAACAAAATAAACAATCCAGTCAAGAAATGGGCAGAAGAACTTGAAAGACATTTCTCTAAAGAAGAAATGCAAATGGCCAACAGGCATATGAAAAAATGTTCAATATCCCTTATAATCAGGGAAATGCAAATTAAAACCACAATGAGATACCACCTTACACCAGTAAGAATGACACATATCCAAATAACAAGCAACAACAAATGTTGGTGAGGATATGGTGAAAAGGAACCCTCCTACATTGCTGGTGGGAGTGCAAACTGGCCCAACCACTATGGAAAGCTGTCTGGAGGTTCCTCTGTCTCCTAAAAATGGAGCTACCATATGACCTGGCAATTCCACTCCTAGGTATTTACCCAAAGGACACAGAAACATTAATTCAAAAGGGCACCTGCATCCCTATGTTTATAGCAGCACTGTTTACAATAGCTAAGCTTTGGAAACAACCCAAATGCCCAAAAATAGATGACTGGATCAAGAAGATGTGGTATATACACACAATGGAATATTACTCAGCAATCAAAAAAGATAAACTCATGCCATTTGCAACAACGTGGATGGAACTAGAAGGAATTATGCTCAGTGAAATAAGCCAGAAAGAAAAAGAAAACTATCAGATGGTGCACTTATAGCAGGAATATAGGGGAACCCAATAAGGCATCAGTGTAAAAAAATAATAACAGTACAAAACACAATAAAGCAAAAGTGGACAATTATAAAACAGAGACATACTGCAGGGGAGGAGGAAGGAGAGGGATCAGAGGGAGGAGGGAGGAGCACAGGGGACTAAGGTAATGGTGCACTGGTGAAGGAAACTATGGGGACTACACCTGAGGGGGTGGGGAAGCAAATATTGTTTAAAAATGAACAATGATGTAAAAAAAAATTAGTATAAAAAAAAAGTTTTATAAGAATTAAAGTAGCTAATATATGAAAGTCCGTAAGATAGTACCTGGCATTTTGTAAATGCTAAGTATGTGTTAGTTATTACTTCCAGATAGTTCAAACATTAGTGTAATTCTGTAATGTTTTCATCCCCATGAGCTTACCAGTTCAGGAAAAAAGAAAGCTGCATCTAATGTTATATTATCCTTGATAAACAGATATAGATAATATATGATTCATTGGAGAAAATTTTTTAGAAGATGTATTTAAAACGGCCCAATATTTCACTGAATGGTGAAGAAGACAAGCTAAGAGAGCTACAAGAGTGACTGAAAAGATGAAAGTGGGGCTGAGTCACATCAATCTGGATCTGGTGAATTCTAATAATTTAAAGGGCATGAAGGAGGTATGCATGTATACTTGCAAATCTAAATCAGTAGGGCTGACCAATCTTATTTCCTTTGCTTTCTCCTTTCCGTCATCTGAGAAATTAGTCTACATGTGCCCATATGAATGCTGAATCTACATGCTACTTTCCAAAGTTAAACTAATATAATAGTTTAACTCCCAACTTTGTTTCACCAAAATCAGCACACTATAGTGTGCTGTGAGATTAAAAAGCCTCACAATAAACTCCACAAAGAAACAAAAACTAGGTCAACAAAACCTATGTATTTCTTTAATGCAAGATGTCTTAGATCCTTTCAATGTGTTAATGTGAACTGAAACGCCCTCTATGTTTCATATCCCAAAAAAAATGTATACAATATTTTTGGAGGGGAAACACCAAATAAATTTCAAGTAACTCTGTCTTACAGAAAGATATTCAAGTCAGGAATAATTGAAAATAAGGAAATTTGGATCCAAATTTAATACAGTATAATATACTAGCAGATATCCCCCAAATGAACACTCAGGAAACAAATTCAGATCTTGGTATTGACACTAACTAGCTATGTAGCTTTCAGAAGGGTCCTTCCTATTTAAGGGCTATTTCCTCATCTATTTAGTATACAGAACTAAAAAACATACCCCAAACCGAGATGGTTCGCTTTGGATTAAGGAGTAAGCAAAACCAGAGACGGAATGGTATATGTCATTATAAAGCAATGATTTTAATAGATGGGGCAGAGGTATGTCAGGCATTTTCGTATTAAAACAAGGATCATCATATTCTGGAGTAGAACACAAAGTTCAAATCTTCAGCTTAGAGAGTATCAAAGATTCTCAAAAATTTCTATTAAATATTTTTAAGAACAAGAAAGAATAAAAGGACCTACCCAGTAGATTGGTCTTAAAATATGGTATGAAGAATAAATTGACCTCTAATGTCTCTTCTAATACAGAAATAGGATTTTATGATTCCAAGCAGTCTATAAGTTCTGAAATTAATGATACACTTTTTTTTAGAAAAAAGTTTTCACTTAGGGCCTCCCTAGTGCTGCAGTGGGTTGAGCGTCGCACTGTGAGGCTGTTCGCAGCCTCTGTAGCGTGGGTTTGATTCCCAGCCAGCCAGGGAGAAACCCACATGGCGGGGCAGACCTCTCCTGCCTCGCCCACTGCTC